CTGACCTTGGTGTCTGCAGAGTTGTTGCTCTTACCTCTTCTCACTCCTCTCTCTGGCTGCAATTACACAGGACTCCCCCCAAACCTGCCCCGCTTCCTAATTCATTATTACAGAGACGCTGCCACCTCTGGGTGGGCTTGGCCTTGGCCAGCGGCGGGGGCGTCTTGTGGTGGCATTGGCTCCATTGGACTCAGGGGAAGCTTCTGGCAGCTTCTCACAGACGCCACCTCCGTAGCCCCCCCTCGATTACCTCTTTTTAAATAGAGCATTGTATACAGATAGTATAGTTCCTATACATCAACACAGGAATCTGTCCACTACAATTCTTAATGGATTTGTCCCCAGGCAACACCTTTCAGTTAAAAGCCCAATTATTTTAAGGTAACTAGCCTTCCTTATACCACTACATTATGTTAGGATTTTTACTTAAATTTTTTGTTTTCTTTTTAAAACTTTACAGGGAATCTCAGCAATTATGCTAATCAACAACAGCTCTAGACATCAGAGCCTCTTTTTATATAGAAGTTATACACCCTGATCGTAATCCTGAAACTTTCAGTCAGTTTAACTTCTGATACTGCAGCTCTTCACATCAAAATTTAAATGCAAAATATATCTCCTTCTGATTTTAAAAACCTGACTGTAGTGCTATCACCTCTGACTGACAACAACAACAAAATTTTACCATATAAATTAGACAGTCTTCAGAGGGACAAAAATACTGCAAATACTATTAACACATACACATCACTTATTTTGCAGCTATATTTGATTTCTGAAAGACTTTGAAAGTCTGTAAGATCTGAAAAGGACAATTTTCAAGGAGGGGTAAAAAACCCTACTGCTCCTTTTACAGTCAAGCTGCTTCTTTGTCCTCCCCCACCACACACTTTTTTATGTTCTCATGTCACCTTTAACAGATTTTATGGAGTTAAAAGACTGATTGCTATCTACATTTGACTTACAAGGAATGCTGTACTCTAGTAAATTGGCTCCAGATGCTGAAAAATGTTCACACTCAAAAATACGTATATTTTAATTTAAAAATCTATATATACCAAATGATAAAAAATGAAAGGGGTTTTAAAGTCTATTTTTTAAAGGAGATCCTGGGAACTAAACAGTTGCAAGTAAGTAAACACCACCTGTATTTCACTTCAGTTTCCATGCAGCAAAAGAATTTCATTTAAGGAATATTTTCCTGATCTTAAGAAAAGGGATACACCTCTAAAGCAAATATCAAGTTCTGCAACAAAGACAACTGATAGGATAGAAATCTTAATTGCTTCAGAGTGTCTCCTTGTTCCCCTATTCTGGCTATTTTGAATTCTAATTCTTAGTTTTATAAAAAGAGCTAAAGAATTAACATAATCCAAGCACAAAACTAGAAGTTTCAGTACATTTTCTTTCTGCTGTTTTTTGGGTTTGGTTTGGTTGCTTGTTTTGGTTTTTGGTTCGTTTGTTTGGTTTTTTTTTTAATATAATAATGATAACACCACATACTTTCACTCCATGTACCTGCAAAGATAATCCTCTCCTGGAAAAGCAGACAGTCTGTTTTGTTCACTATGCAGGCAACAACAACAGCAAAGCTGTCAGCTGGATCTCATCCATACAGTGCAGTCTACCCAAATTACTCAGGCCTAAAATAAGTGAGTTTTTATTACAAATTCAAACCTAACACCAAATACATACAAGGTACTTCACAGGCTTATAGTCAAATATAATCTAAAAAGCAAACACTTTCCAAAAAGCTCATAAACTTCTTTGAAAATCTTCCCTCACTAAATTTTATAAATTTATAGCTAAATTTGAAAAGTACTAAATACAGCAACTTTAGTAGCCTTTAAGCCACCTCAGTGATTTTTCTTCTTTGTCAATACAGATACAACTAAAAAAAAGCCAATGCATTTATACAGGCATTTATTATGCTTCAAAAAGATCACGTTTCAATTCCAGTTCTGCAAATAATTCTGTATGGGCAAAAATCTAGACTTACAGAATTTACTTTCATTATTAAATTCATATCTGGATAGATGATTTGCAAAGCTCAAATAAAAAGAAGATTTGATACCTTTTTTAAATAATTACATCTTTTTGCTCAGCTGTTTAAAATTATTATGTCTTTCTCCTGAAATGAATAACTACCAAAATCTTTATTTTGTTCTCAAATGAAAGGCCTAAAAGGGACCTCAGGAAAACATACATTCCCTTTCCCATATTAATTTGGGTTTGTTTTGTTGGGGTTTTTTTAGAATCTGAAAAATATTACAAGTTCAAAATTTAAAAATCCTATTTGCTGCTTACTATTAGAGTAATAAATAAATAAATTATTATATATTTTGAGATATAACTAGAAACTAATGCCCAGAGTCACACAAGAATTTGGGAACCTAGTTTCAAGTATGTAATATTCAAAATTTCCATTTTAACCTGACAGACACTTACAACATAAACAGGCCTAAGCAGCTTGATGTGTAAGCTATACCGTAGTTACTAGAACTTCCCTTCCCTGTGACATTTCTTTCACTTCAGAAAGCCCTAACATCTGTTTTCACCCTTCTCCTCAAAAAAAAAATTCTACAATTTTTTGAGAAAGGAAAACTTTCTTTTGTTTTGTTTTAAATCAAGTTTTGTTTCAAAGCAATGCTCCAAGAGTTTCTAGTCTTGCAACACTCACAGGGGAGCTCATCTGTACCTAATGCAGGAACCACTGCTTCTATGGAAAGTCAGGCAGCCTGGAGACTTCAAAGGTGAAAAGGCTGATTTTTTTGTTTTCCACAGCCCATCTAAATAAGTACTATAGGCCTGTACATTTCTGTCAACATTTTTTTTAAAACAGAGAATGAGGCAAGTACCAGTATGCAGTAGACAATTACCAATTAAAAAATCCTGACCAGGAATATTAATTCTTCCCATATAACAATAATCATTATGCTTTTAGCCATTTTTGTAAAATGAAATATTCTCAAATTAAAGATATTTCAGTCTATCAAAGAGCTTAAGATTGTCTGAAAAGGACATTTTAAAAATCTTGATCACTGTATGCCTCTTCCCAACTTTCCTATATTCATATTTTAGGGGAAAATTAATATCAGAGTTAAATACAGTACTCTGCTACCTGCAATATCTATGTAGTAATTTCAAGTGATAAAACTTTTCTATCCCTTCTTGAAATGAGTATCACAGGGATGACAATAACCTTTTTTTCCTAAAGCATCTCAGTATGAGATAATGTTCAGTTCTCCATCATTACTCAGAAGTTTTTCATAACTGTTTTCAAAACACATTTGTTATAAGGTTCATTGTTCAGTATTTTTTGTACAAAACTTTCCTAATCAAGGAACTCTTTATTATTCATTACATCCAAGTACATTTCGTACAACATACCTTTTTCAAAACACTGCAAACTCTCACAGCAAGCAGCAAATATTTCTTAATTTCTACCCAATCTTTGATAAAAGCACAGAACATGCCATGTTGGGAGCTAATTTCTGCAGATCCCTACTGCCTGATAATTCCCTACTAAATACTGTATTTTGAAAAGCTCTATTTGCCCAGGCACAGTCCATTTCATATGCCAAACTGATGCACCATACTAGCTTTTCTTCTAAAAGTCAAAGGGAAAATACAGGACAGAAAGTTCATAGATAAGAGCCAAACAAGAATGTCTGTAAGCACATGATTTGATTCTTAGCTTTAGAACTTCCTGCACCTGCAAATCCAGTAAGTATGCTCAACTAAACCATCTTCTAGAAGATATATTACCTCTAAATTTTCAGAACTGTTACTGAGAATTGTTCAACTATTACTTTCTCTCACTTGATCATGTTTTACCTTTCTTGTCATGTTAGAGGTTATTATAGTATAAGTTTTCAGTTCCCAATATGATATACCCATAGTCAGATAAACTCTCTCCTCGGCTTTTCTACAGTAACGTGCTTTTTCCAGTCCCTGAATCCTTCTCGTGGCTCTTCTCTTCACACACAGCAGACAGCAGCACTAGACACAGTATTTGAAGACCAGATGCACTCTGCTGAACACAGAGCTACCCTTCTCATTAGTTCATTGTTTATGCATTCAGACCTTTTTTAAACACAGCTCAGCACTGGAAGCTCAGACATAACTGATTATTCACCTTTATACTTTTTCTCTTCAGCCCTTCCTTCCCCAGAAGACCATCCTTATCCTGAAAGTACACATCCATCTTTCTTAGACATATTCTTTTACTTCAGCTACCCCAACACAACTCTTAGTTTGTATTGCTTACCAAGAGATCCATTTGATTCTGTCCTCATACCCAGATTTTTTCGGAAACTGCAGAATTTTCTAATAAATATCATAAGGATGATAACTGATGCACAGGGAAGTAACACAACCTCAAAGTAAATACTTTGATTTAATAATTCTCTGATCAAAATTAAATTATGACTTATCCATTAACTAAATTTAATGCAAAGGTTTGCTGACTTCCTGTCATTACAGGTCTTTATTTAAAATGTCATGCTGTAGCAACTGAAACATACACAACTACTATGACACTGCTTTTATTTTAAAAAAAAAGTGCAGTAGTCTATTTTCCATAACTCACAATAATCGCCATTAATCACTACATCTTTACACCTCTTAATATCTTTCTTTCTTGTATCAGACACATCCTAATTACAAAACAATAACTACCTGCCAGCCTCCTACAACTTCACAAGTTTTGAAGACTTACTGAAATTTTACATTGACAGTCTAAAAACATGAAAATATGAAGTACTCATCAACAGAAAATGCCAATTTATTACTTCTGGCTGTAGCTGCTGCTAACACCTGTTTTAGTTAAGAACACTGATAGGGGGATCCATTTCATTACAATCCCCATATTCAGGAGCTTCTGCTACATCATGTGATTTCTTCCCAATTAACTCGATGAACGTCTCCACTTTTTCTACACCAACAATTATCAATTTTAACATTTTAATCTCATATCAAACCAACACCATTTCTGTGATTTAACATAAGCTCTGAGGGACTCAATATCTCAGTGAGAACGACTTCAACTTACTCATCTACTCTGAAGGTCAGCGTTGTCTTACATCATCCATATGACAACGAACTCAACAGTAAGATCATTTCCTTACACAGGAGCATAACACTTGGTGAAGGCTTCATCACTGTTTGAATCGATGAGAAAGGAGAATAAAATACATGGACTAAGCTGAAGCATCTAGTAAGTTCCTGTACAGAGGTGAAATGTGACTGCTCCAGGCATAAGATCGACCGGGGGGGCCTATGCCAAAAACCATGAACTGTTTCTAAATGAGAGTTTGAAATATTGCTATATTAAAGTACAATAGTGGGTCTGGATACATCCTTTATTCTAAAAACTGTCTCGTATTACCACCAGAGCACACTGAAGAATGGTCCAAGCGTAGAACATGCATGATGTAGAAACAAAAATGTAAAAAGACAAATTATAAGGTTGCCTCAATTGTGACAAAGAAATTCCAGAAGATGGGCACAGCAAGGGTGCTGAAAGAATTGGCTTACCATTTCAAGGCCCAATTTGGAATTTAACCTTCTCCAGTCGTCTTAGGAAAAAAAAGAACTGCTTTATAAGCTCTTGTAGGGTTTACAGTACTCATAAAGGCACAAAGCCAATTAAGCAAATATTAAAATATTGAAGCAAATGATCCCCTGAAGTCCTTAGCAACTGAAGTGGATATTATACAATTTGTTGTACACTTGAAATCAATAATGGAATTGGGAAAAACAGAGAAGCATCCCTATATGCTTGAAGCACTGTAATTCTTCCAGCAGCAAGCACCGACACAAAACTTGAAGATAACTGTGCAAGAACTTTATCTACTATAACTCAGGAATTTCAGTTTACTTCTGACACTTGACTGTCATTTTACCTTGCTGCATTACGCCACAAAGTCAGAAAGTAGTGTAAGTCACAGAAAATGTTTCTGTCCTATTGCTGTGGGGGACAAGTTCTCAGAAAGTTCTTCACACACTGGAGTGCACTCCAAACAAAAGGGAGCTAGAGCCTGTGCAAACTGCTTGACAATATAAAATACAGAATGTATGAAAGTTATTTATTGTAACTGTATTTTTTCTTCTTACCACCACTTTATTAGTTTCTGCACTACTGCTGAAATGAAGTGCAAATATGGTAAAAGAAACATTTTACCTTGGAATCTACTACTAGCAGAGGTAAGCACTGGGACAAGATGCTACTCATCTTTCAATCCCTGGATGAAGGTCTTCTGTTCTTTAATCACCATTGTTGTGAAAAGAAAAAAAAAAATCTTCAGCAGAAGGTATCACTGCTTTACAGTACTTCCAACTAGAGATCTTCAAGTATCATCAAGAACTTAATTCTGAGAACAAAACTAGTGTGACTTTTAAAAAGTTAAATAGCTCTATAAAATTGTAGAGTTCAGATGAAACCCTCCCCTATTAAAAAATTTGGATCCTGAAATCACTCCAAAGACCAGTCCCATTTTGGGGGAACCATTATCAGCTTTATATAACTCCCACTGACAACTGACTTACGTCTTCTTAGACAACAAACTTACAAGATAAGTTTTGTAAATAAGCTGTTATTGACTAAAGAAGCTTTTTTCTTAAAAAAAAAAAAAACCCTCAAAAAACCACCACAGGAGCAGATGTACTAGAAAACCATTAATATAAAAATTCCTTATAAACCTACCAAATAAATTTTCTTTAATTTTTAAGTCACTTTTCATTCCTTTCACTACACTATTAATGTATAAAGTGTTTCCTATCAGATTATAAATACATATCAGAAAAAATTATAAAGACCATTAAGACTGACCATTCAAGCGCTCAGAATGAGCTGAAAGCATCAGATCAGTTGCAGGGCAACTGTAATACAATCCGAGTGTATGTATTGTAACAGCTTTTAATGACAGGGCCTTGTACCATTACGGTACATCTCAGTTCTTATTAAGCAGGAAAAAAGAAGTTCTGTGGACTGGAAAAAAGTTTGGAGAGGACAAATATTTTCACAAAATGAGCTGAGTGTGCTTACTCTGAACAAAAGTTTTACAGAAGACATTTAATTATGAATAAATAGCACATGATTAATCCACATTACCTTTTAAAATAAGCTTTCCTTCATCTAATTTGAACATTAACTGGGAACAGGATTATCATAAGTCTGTGAAGTAATGATTTTCATAATTTTTATGGATCTCAACAAGTACTCTTGAGAAAATGGAAAAACAATGGTAGCTTAAGACAGCTGCAGTTAAGAAGGTTATTTAAAAATAAATGAGGAGGACATTCTTGAAAATGTGCCTCAAAAGCTTTGTTTAGCATGGTCTAACTTACTCCTGATTCTGCTTCTTTGAAGTAGCAAGGGGATGCCAAGTAAGAGTCAGTAAAAACTTTTTGGCTTGACTTCCCCTATGTTTTCTCTCACTACATTTACATGCACAAAATCTTATTTGGGGGTGTGGGTCAAATCGTTTGGATTTACTTGTCAGATTTTGTTACTGGACAATATAGAGGCATTTCAAAGAGAAACATCAGCATATCATACCTGAGAAAATGTATGTTTCTGATAATAGTAATATATCCTTCCTCATTGTATCAAAGCTGTAAATGGACTGCTAAACCCAGAAAATGCTTATGATTAAGTGAGGAAAGCAGCACCACAACCATAAGAAAGAGGAGAAAGGAGAAGAGCATATTAAAACAACATGCTCAGACTCAGTAAGTCGTTTGTGGATTAATTTAGAACTCATGCTGAAAGACAAAGACATCCCATCTGTTTTTGTTTCCCTGATTTTGTTTCTTTGGTTTTCAGGTTTTTGTTGGGGTGATTTTGTTTGGTTTTCATTCATATTCTTTGGCACCTTCAGAAAATATCACTGCTTTAGAGAACAGGTCTAGTGCTGGCTAGCAAGAATTTAAGTGTGGTTAACAGAGGTGAAGTTATTAGCTAAATATCATGATAAAAGCAATAAAACCTACCCAGTATTTTCATCCGTGTATTTCAAAGCTTCTTACAAAGGGAGTTTAACTTATTACTGGCATTTTATAGACAGAAGAGAGAGATGTAATAAAGAAGACAAAAGAAGGAAGGATGGCCCTGGCCAGGGAAAGGCCTGTTCTAGGAGATGACAAAACCAGAATATTCTAAGACAAATATAAGGTGAGATACATTGGTCATTCACTTCAAACCAAGATCTTCTACTTCCATCTGTTACCCCAACTACAACAATACATAATCAACCTCAAAGGGTTTATAAAGGAGTAAGAAAGTTCACACTAAAATAATCAGAACACTGATCTAAATCTGGTGGCTGATGTCTGTCCACTACAGATAGGAGGTTAATATGTTTTTTAAACTGTATTTTAATCAAAAAGATGGACAGTGATCTAGGAAGTTTTGTCACATACCACTTCTCCCTACTGATTTCAATACAGGAAAAATACTTTTAAAATATAGTTGCCACTGCTATTGTCGTTATTACCCATAATAAAGATCATCATTTGCCTATATCTAACAAAGATTTAAAACAGTGTGGTTTTGAGATAAAGTTTTTTAAGTACCTGCCTTGCTCTGAAACAAATATTAAGTTTTTGTTTCTTGAAGCATGTATATTTTTGAAGTATCTCTTATACAGTGAAAATATACAATATAAAAGCATAAAACCCTGCCCACAGCCAAATATTCTTTCCCAAAAAAAGAAAAAATTAAGCAAAAAATCCACTAGAACAACAAAATGGACAAAATTTCAAAGTTACAAAAACAAGGTATTAGATAGTCTGCCTTCTTTTTTTTAATCTAAACACTAAGGCCTTGAAAGAAACTTCAAAGCAACAAAGACTTTGGTATATACAATATTCTGCAAGGTCATTCCAAATACAGGTTTACTGGGAACAGAAACCCTCTCTCAGCCTCAGATGCACATAACATTTAGAACAGAGGAAGAACAAAACAAACAATTTAAATTTATAAAAAGCACGGAAGAATATGAAAATCTCATCTGGCTGCACAGGGGTCCAGATTCAGGATATCCTTTTACATGTTTAAACTGACAATTCTCCATATAGACATTCTGATTTTTAATTAAGCTAAATTGGTAAAAAATAATTGAGGAACATATTCAGCACAGCTGACAAGCTTGAGTACTCATTTTGTTTTCTCTATAACAGAACATATAGACAATATAGTCTGTATAAATTATCACTTCTTTTAGATAAACCCATCACATGTAATTTCCAAAGAATCTACTTTCATGCAACTTATTTTTCCCCCTACCGCCTCAAAACCTGCATTTATACAACATATAGGTCAATACACAGGTCAATCTACTACAGCCACCTACAGCACAATGGCACCTGTACATGGAACAAAACTTACTCTTCCAACAGTCATATCCTTATTTTTACTTTTTCTTCCCCAAGATACTTTAAATGATACTCTGTTCTTGAAAAGTGCACCCAGAATCATAGCTAAATTCATAAAAACATATTTTGAAGTAAGAAAGCAAATCCGATAAATGCCTACCTGAACCCACTGGAGATGAGCCAACACTAAGACTTTGTAAACTTCCATTCCTGAGCAAAGTTGGAGATTTTTGAAGACCCGAGCTTGTTACACTTCCTGCAGCAGATGCCACAGATGAAGTTGGGGAAGCAGAAGAAACTGAAAGATGGGAAATACTTTCTTGACTTTTATTTCCTTTGGGTCTACCAGGCCCATGTTTACTTTGCTTATTTCCTTTCCGTTTCTTCTCCATTACAGTTTCGTCTTCTATTCCAGAAGTTTGAGCTCGTTTGTATGCTGTAGAAGTAAGGCCTGAATTACCTATGTCTCCAAGTGAGCTGTCAAAGTTTTTAGATTGGGAAACAGCTGATGATGAAGGGAGACCAATTAAGGAAGTGAAACAATTGACACTCCCCTCTTGACTCCCAGTCTCTCCTTTATGTACATCTTTGGTTGACGAAGTCTGTTGAGAATGCGTGAAACTGTCACTTCGCAGATCTGTGTCCGTAAAACTCAAAAAATCCTGGGGGGACTGAACTGAACTTCCAGAAGATGACTTTATGCTCCCAGGAGTGCCCAGAAAGCTTCCTAAAAAAGAAGAAAATAAAAAGTATGATTCTTTTTTTCCTGTAGTTAATGAAAAGTGACAGGAAAGATTAAAATCTTAGAGTACACAACTTTAAAGTGCAAGGACTTTATGAAAAGTGTTACAAAGAGCTAAAGAATTTATTTTTAAGATAACTCATTGCTTCTGCTGCTGATCTTCACTCTCCTGCATCTCATTCTCAGATTCCTATCCAAGCTTCAGATTTTCATTTGGGGCACAAACAAGGTGAAAATGAACAAAAGGAGAATAACAACTTTGCTGCTTAGGCAGTTTTGACATCCCTTCTGTTCTGAAGCCACAACAAACACTTGGTGCAAGTCACAGCAGTTTTTCTTAAACATACACATATACAAAACGAAGGCGGCTGATAGAAACTTGCTATGATCACATCTACGCTATGCCTGCAATCTTCCTTACCATTCTACCTAAATCAAGGGTCTGACACAGGTCAAGGGAACAGCAATTGCATTTAATTTACCCTGTCTGAGGAGGTTTTCCACAGAAGAGGTATTTTCAAAAAGACACGAGGGGAAGTGGAGAAAAGTGTGTAAAATTGGCAGTTTAAGACTTCTTCAGCACTATCAGAGAACCATAAAGATCTTTTGTGCAAGAGAATTATATTGCTTCTGTAATATTTGGAATGCAATCACTTCATCACTGTGTTAGTAGCGCATGCAAGGCAGAAAATGAAGCACACTTAGGAAAAACAAACATCTACTTTCACCGAAATTCAATAATTTTATATGGGTGGGTGCACGTGGGTAATGTTTTGTAGAACTCGGACTGATTACAACTACCCCATCAAGAAAACACTCCTAAATACATTAGGTATTTTAAAAGTCCTTTAAAAATTACTGTATCATTACTATTCCATTAAACATGATTATGAATTCCATTTAAAATATAATTTACACAACAATTTAAAAACCGTAAAAACGTTGTTGTTTTATATTTTAAATAAGTTAGATCAACTTCACTTAATGTAGCTTTAAACAAAATACATACACATAGTAAAGATCTATTTTGCCACCTGCAGTGAACAAGGCTTTTCCTTAAATGTAGGATTCCAGAAAGCATTTTTCAGTTTTGAGAATTTGAACAACAAAAATTTTTTTTTCAAGTAAAAAAGCCTGAAATATGGAGGGAGTCCTAGACAAATTTAAAAGTGCTGACTGCATAAATAAACTCAAAGAAAGAGCAACATCATAAAGCAGAAAGGACAGTAAGCTATTATACACCACAGTGAAAAATATTGGAAAACAATTACTTTATAAAAGACCTAATTTGTTGCATTTCAAAATAACAAGTTTTATTAGCTAAGTAATAAAAAAATAGACTTATTTTTTTATCTCTCCAACTCTGACAAAGATGCTATAATAAAATTTGCTTTTCAGAAGTGTCAGCAGTTCATTTAGTGGGTTTTATTTAGCATGTTCAAAACATCAAACTTTTTTATTACATAAGGAAAATAAACTGCATATACCTGTCACATAATCATCTTCTGCTTATGTATTTCATTGACAAAAAAAAAAAATTAAAATGTCTTTCTTTTCTTGAAGAAAATGGTGTATTTTAAATGTATATATCTTGAAAAATTACTCAGGGGCTCACAGCATTCTATATATTAGGTAGTCCAGTTTTATTCTACTATGCCCTAACTAAAAAAATTAGAAAGAGCTAAGAAAGACCCCTAGACTCAAATTCATATGTTAAATTATACCCCAGACTATGTTCAGTACATGAAGAAACTTCTGGTTTTGGTAGTTAAAGAGTATACCTTAACAGTCTAAATAAAAGCATCAGTTTTGCCCTTTAAAGATGCACGTGCTTCTTTTTCATGTTGTGACAACAAACATTTTTTCCCTGAAAAAAGGTTATTTTTTCCCCAAAGTGAAACAACATTCTCATTATTGAGGATAAAGGATGAACTACTTTTCAAGTTTTAATTATGTAAGATTTCTAATTCGTGTCAAAGCAGAAGTCATGTTACAGCGTAATAATGAATACCTTGCTGAAAAGGGCTAGCTGCAGTCACAGTTGTTCCTGGATTTCTTCCAGCTCCAGGCTTTCTTCCCCTCTGACCTGAGCTGTGACCTGCAGATTTCTTCCCTTTGCTCTCTGACCCTCGAGCCTCTGAAGAATCTTTTCCACTTGAAACGTGTGTAGAAACTTCCTGGAAATTTGCATTTGTAAATCGAGCTGTAGTATCCTCCAACCTCTTCAAGGAGCCTGACATGGAGTTGTTGCTAGTGCTTGTGTATGTCTAGCATTTTGAGACAAGAAAAGAAGTAAGAGGAAAGAAACAGTTAGGTCACACAAAAAACTGTAACAAAAGCACTGTTTAAAAGAACACATTCTTTCAAATTAACTTAGAAGTGATCAAATACTAAGGTAACTGCCAACAGCATGAATTAGGTTGAATTGTTAAGATTTTCAGCAAACAACTGGCGTGCATAAAACTTAATTTTAAATGCACAAAAATAGTCAGCTTTGTCTGAAATTTTTACTTCACTAAGGTCAATGGATTAATCTCAAATCTATTGTTACATAGTCTTTATATTCTATTTAAATAGGATATTGTTGTTTTACTGCTTAAAATCAAAAAACAGAGACTTTAAATGCTTTTCTGAAAATACAATTTTTATGGAGTTTGTTTTGTCAAACTGGAAATGTTCCATCAGCAGTGGAACTGACGCGAAGTCTTCAGAAGCTAAGAACTTGCATTTTTGAGACTTTATAGTCTCAACAGCAAATGAAAATCAACCCCAACAAGCCCAACTGCGTCTTCACTTCTCGCCACCACACTAGGATTCCCTGCCATCTGAACCATCCCATTCAGCCAGTTCCTTAAGTATGATCAAGTAAAGAAGATACCATGAGATCTAGTTGGCCAATACACGTGCAGCAGTGACTGGCTACTTACTACAAACCTGCTGCCTGTCAGGAAGGAAAAAGCATAACATGCTCTTGAGCTTCCAATGCAGATTTCTTCCTCAACCCTCATCCATCCCCAAGAATTCTGGCCCTTCTCCTACACCCATAAACTATTCCCGGGGCTATCAAAAATTTTATAGTTAGGTTCATTATTCTTTCATTAAATTTTGTCAGAATTGTTTATATTGCTGAAGAGTCAAAATAGGCTCACAGAAGGCAATTAGGTGGGCAGGGAAACCGTGTGCACAGCATTAGGAAAACACACAAAGGAATATAATTGTTTTCATAATAAAAAAGAAATCGGAGTTGTAATAGTAGAAATTTTATATCAGAAGAAGGAAAGTGAAAGCAAAATTAGGAAAAAGGAAATATTATTCTACTGTTGTTTATACTCAAACCAACTAGTAAAATAGCCTTTTGACTGTATAAAGCTTCTTCAACAGAAGAATATTGATCAAACCTAGAAGCTACTTATCTGTTCAAAACAAGCTTAGTTTGTTTTTCAGTTCTTTATTGACAAGAGTTTAAAATAGTATCTCAATCGATCTCCACTGAAGACCACACAAACACATGCCTCTTAAATTGAGCATACACACAAGTTTTCTTTTCCTCGACTGGGATGCTTGCCGAATTTAGGTCTACATCAGAATGTTTCCTAACCTTCACATACAGCTTTGTATAGCTGGTATAAAAAGTCTGCCATATTTTCACTAGAACACCTACGACATTTACAAAGAACTTACTTTTCAGTTGCAAATGCCAGAAGACAATTAAATATGTAAGCTTTGAGGAAGATGAAAATTTCAATCTATTTGCGCACTGCCCTGCATGAATTATTACAAACAGCAAAAAAATATATTATGGATTTTCTGAATAACAGTGAAGAAAAATCAGTTTAAGTCCATTCAAGTACAATGTTAAAAATAATTTACTTCACATTCATATTACTATACTGGTAATCGTTTCTAATGAAGATGGAGCCAATTCTAAGGTAAGTTTAGTAGTTAACTTTTTGAACTATTACAAAGTCAACAAGTATGCTCAATTTTCCTGAAACTGATGTGTCACTTGATCTGAGTTAAGCAGCAGTAGTTCAAATTTGGGTCATTTGAACAAAGGGTTTCTAGACATGCAATAACCCAAACCAAAAGTCAGGCTTTTTCTAGGACCCAGAATTTCTCCTCTTACCCAATTCTTTCCTAATCCTTATCTCCTATCCATTCAGTTGACTATTAATTGCAAGGATAATTCTCTATAGGTATCAACAATCATATGTTGTGATGTGATGTTATCTCATACCTCTTCTCCATTACTGCAAGAATTTTATTTATTTATTTTAAAGGGAAATAAAAGAGTTTAACATAGCTTTACAGACTGGTCAGGCTTAGGCAATGACAAACAAGCGTTAATTTGTATACATTGTGTATAGATCTGACTGCAAGTTTGAATCCTGCTCTTAGCAGATTTTGGAGAACATGTGTGCACATAACAGTTCTGCTCTTGAAATTTTTGCTCCAACAGCTATTTCTGTTTCAGAAGGTGCCATAAAGTGTACCAAAATCTACATGCTTCCTTAGAGTATCTTGAACACTCATACGACGCGATATACCCTAAGCAAAATAAAATTGGTATCATTTGGTCAGTATATTTTTTTTACAATTATACTCCATTAACTCACATTCCATGTGATTTAATCACAACAAAGTGCCCTAAACCAGATACACACACATCAATCAATTTTAGAATCCACAAAATATGCAACAGGATCCAAGCTAAAACTGCAGAACAAACTTTAGATTATTAAGCTAACTGGTTAATACAATAACCTACCCACCACTAAACAAACTGCTTTTCTAAAATTCTAAGTTCTAAAAGACAAAGGCCTAACAGAAGTGTCTCAGAAAAACCTTAATATGCCATGGCAAAGTTACATCGTTTGTTTGCTTTGGGTTTTTTTGAGGTCAGGAGAGCAAGAATGGCAGGGAGCAAAGATCTAGGGATAGAGGCAGAACCCCTTTGCTTATTTACTGACTGGCTTCAGCCTCTGCAGCCCAGCCTGGAGCTCACAATTCTGTCCCCTCCCAGCATATGGTTTTCAATGGAATCACTACTCTAGGCTCCTCCCTTCACTGCTCACACCACAGTCAGTCATTTTCCTTAATTTCAGTACAGACATCCCCCAAAAAGGAGATTCCCTTGATGCTGTCACCCAACTCCATTCCTTGGTTTATTCTGGAGGACTTGACTATTTCATGAATGTTAATCCTGTTCTCAAAAATCAGTATTTGCCAGAGCAATTATCAAGCTACCTCTGTGTGTATCAGAATTCCTTTATGCTTCCCCCATAAACCAGTTTGCAGGAGTTTTTCCCCCCTCTGAAGAGCACATTTTCACATTGCCAACTTGATGCGCAGAGAGCTACTGTCATTTTTACAGCCCCCATATATCACTGTGTGCCCTTAAGAGTTATATTGCCCATCTGTAGCAAGTCTTAAAACTTCTGGGAAAGCTTTAGATTTACAGTAAAGGTGTAATAATCATTCTTGCTATACACAGTACATCCCGCGGCTTGAGAAGCCTTTAGCCCTAATACAGATGTATAGGGTGGTCCTCTTGCACAGAGATGGGAAGGACCACAGCAGACCACAGCAAAAATGCCAGAGGTAAGAGCATGGTCTGAGTAAAAAAAACAACCAAACAAAAAAAACCCCAACACACACACACATATACCCCACAGCCCACAAACACCACACGGCTGTAGGATAGTGACATTCAGTAATACCCAGTTGAGATTTCCCTGTTCTTTTCATTCTCTTCTGTATCCCACTGTGGTAGGATCTGAGCACCTCCCCTGAGAACCAGGTTAGGCTGATAGGGTGAACTGAGGAGGGTTATCATAGCGATCTCTACTATAACAGATAAAATTCAGCCAGCTGTACTTTCTGTTTCCAGTATCTTTTTTTCATTACTGGCTACAATTTGAAGCAGGTACACTGTCTTGTGTATCTCCGTGTACATTAATGCTTTGGACTTCTCTTTTCATTACTAACACTCCCCCCTCTCAAAAAAAAAAAAAAAAAAAAACCCAACACACCACTATTTTTCTGGATCTGTTAAACCACACACATTTTTATCTCTCAGCACAAGCCAAAGTTGAAAACCCAGGACAGAAGCTTTTATCAGGACTAAATAAAGGGCTAGTAGCTTTTCTCAATTAAGAGCAAGGCCAGAGGAAAATCTCATCTGAAGAGCCAGAGAGAGAATTCAAATTCCTAAATTACTCAAGTCCTTCTTAAAACATTCTGCCTCTACACCCCAAAATGAAAGTGAAAAAAAATTTTGTATATTAAAAAAAGACTAGTTAAGAATTTTTTATTCCAAATTTTTTCAAACTTAACTGAACCAGACTAAGCAGTGTTTGCTGAGACATTACAGGTATGCACAAAAATGCCTCTCAAACAGCATACTTGTATCTCAATACAGCATTTGGGCTGGAACCTTAGTAAAATTTCTTCAAAATAATTTTGCAGAACAAACAGGCAAGCCAAGTATACTAACTCACATCATGTAAATCCACAGCTTATTCTGCAGCCTTTCATGCATCTATCTTAAGAAGCCACCCATCCAGATAAAAACATGCTTTAAGGCATCACCTGCATAAATGGTCATTACCACTGTATGACAAAGGATTTAACTGCTATAAAAAGGAAAAGTAAAATTCATTTCAAACTCCGGTTCCCCCCACAGGAACCAATGTGGTAGCAGAAGTGATTATATACCATGATAAAATAATGTATTCACTGCAAAGACAGACTGCTGTGAAAAAGACATCAAGTCCGTATCAATTCTGACAACTCTATGTAAAAGGACACAAAAAGTAACATATTAATGCAATATTCTGAACCAAATATTTCTCTCAGAGGCAAATTAAGCTTGTTTTATTATTAAAATTTCAAGTTTTTGAGGAACACACTATGAATTTATAACCCAGAAAAGCAAATGCATGTAAACGGTGTCAAAAGGACTCAGAAAAAAAAATAAAATAACTGAAGGAACTATCCATAAAAAGTAACTTCCAAATATCCAGCAGATCCTTTATAAAAAAATAAAATAAAACTTAGTAACTTCATTAAAAAACCTGAACATCAATTTTCCTGAAACATTACACAAATAAGGTAGAAAATGAAGCAGAAAGCTGAGGCAGAAAAAACCCACAGGATGCAAAAGCTTAAAAAAAACTAAAAGGACACCTGTTAATATTTAAATTCCACAATAAGTACTTCTGTTTTAGTTTAATTCAGTTATAATTTAAGTTACAGAATTAGAGAGTTTCTCTTCTCTTTAGTATTTGCTCTAGCTCTACCTTGCTACTAACCATAGGAGTTGCAAATTTTTTTATTGCAATATTACCTATTTAAAGATTTTTAGGACTAAAAAGAGGTGAGGATTAGGTATTCAAAAGAATATAAAAATATTTAAAATATTCCTATTATAAATACTATACACTTAACTACAAAAATATATTTGATTTGCTCTGCATACATATATAGTACTATGTCAATTAACAGAATGGCAAACAACTCAGGAAGATTTTCATTCTTCACTTGGATTAGAGTTCTCCTAAAAATGGTATTTTACTCTTGTTCACCTTACTAAAGGGTACACCACTGAGTCGTAAATCTTGTAATTAGGAAAAGACTTGGGAGAACAAAGGAATTGGAGGTTAGCAGAAAAACAGAATCCAACTGTCTTCAGCCTTAAAAGCATATTCTAATAGGTAGGACTCAAAAATAACTAATATTTCAATATATTTTCTTTAACTTTTACACAAATATACAGTAATATCACTTTTGTTAAAACTTATTATGATGATAATCAAAGCTAAAAAGAAATGCAGTTCAAAGAAGATTAAGATCATACACAGCATAAAAGCTCAAGAAAAACTGTAGAGTTTAAAGGTAGTTCCCACACAAGAAGCCTCATTTACAGGCTATGAATTTTATGAGTTGTCTCAGACTCAAGAGGATAAATTAATAAAATGAAATAACAAATCACATGGACCAGTCAGTACTATTTAAAGAGTTCTACAACTTATTTTCAATTAAAACTGTCACACTCACTGATTACAATGCCTAATCACTCTTAAATCAAAATAGCAGAGTGGCAAATTGACTCTACCTTTTTTTTTCTTTTTAAATTAAGAGTTATTGTGAATTTCAGAAAACCACTGGCTAGTAAGTCTCATCTAACACAACAGTGTCAAAGAGAATACAGCAGAACCAGAAACAAGATTAATTTATCAGGAGTCACAAATAATGGGATGTTAACAGGTACACATCTTGACATTAATAATCATACTATTGAGAACAAATATCCAAAGCATACTAAAAAACTAACTTTCTTGGTGATTATTCTTGAAGTTGATACCACTAGTAGAGGGAATACTTCCAGGCACTAGAGAAAGTTGATATTTCAATTGTTTTACCCTGTCCTGACAAGGTCTTGGTGTACCATATGCAAATAGACACACTTCTTGAATCTTGCATCTCGACAACCAAACTGCAAACAGTTAACACAAGCTTCAGCATATTTGCTAAAATAACAGTGCTCTACATACTGATAGCTAATTAATTCAAAACATGATTCCCCAACTCAGATGTCAAACATGGTCACATGAATGGGACAAATGTTTTCCAACTTTGAAGCCAGAAAAGCCATTTCTCAATACCACTGCCCACTCTGTAATACCAACATTAGTGTCATTTTTTTGGTGGATAGCGAAAGCAATTCTCGTAGAGTACAATGAAAACTGTCATTATTTAACCCACTATGTTGTTCCTTGAGTTAGACATTTGCTAGCACTTTAACAGGCAGGAAAGACCACGGAACCTAAAGGAGCAGGATGCAAAAAAGGCAATGTGGTATTACAAGCATATGAAGCAGAAGCTGTAATTTCATAATTACCAGCTTCAATGCTTACAGGTTCAGTGACAGCTCAGCACACACAAGTGAACTTCAAAGGAAAGATATTCTGAAACTTCACCAATTAGTAAACAGAAATCAATGAAATAAAGCTTATTAGAGTATCAGTGGCACCTGATTGGGGTCATTAAATCACTCACTATTCAATTACAAAAATCTAAGCCTTTCTTCATATTATAAACCTGAAAGTATTTTAGGACTTTACATTATAGAAAAAATACCAAGTGTGCTTGATAATTACAGAATCTATGTCATTATAAAGCTCCTGTGTATGCACTGGATATTACATCACAAAATTTCAACATAAGTAACTAAAGTGGAAGAGGAGGAAAAACATGTTGACTTACTTTCTCTGTAGTTACAGTAAGAGATGGAACCAAGGATGGCGAGGACTCCGACTGCTTCTTATATTTTTGCTTGTGTTTATCTTTCTCTTTATATTTCTAGAAGTTATAAAAGAAATATAACCTAAGTTCAGCTTCATCTTTAACATAACCCATTTTACGTAGCACCAAGCATTACCAAAATTTAAAAGAGATGGTAAGAGTGTCCTGTGCTATTTTAATGGAAACAACATGAATGGTTTAAAATTTTTATAATTTTATAAAAGCAAATCAAGTACTTATATTTGCTTTCAAAAGAAACAAACTGAAATACTTCAATTATAGTCAGCGTTTATAAATCCACTGTTGTTAATATTACCCATCTTCCCAATAATCAATTAATCAACAATCAAAAAGGTTGGTAGTGTAGTGGGGGAAGGGGCTACCCTGTTGGGAGCTGGCTCCAAGGCATACAGCGCCCAGGCTGAGCTAATTAGCAACAGAGAAACATCTCTTCGAATTCATATTTGTGAGACCGTCCTGAAAAGAAGGTGGAGAGAACCTGGAGGAGGCAATTTCATTGACCTGAACAAAAAACAACCATCAGCCTAAAGAGAGAGGGAGCTTCACTTTGTTGCCAGGAGGAAGGAGGACAGAGAACCTCAGACGCAGGGAGTAGAGAAGGTAAATGAAGTCCTCTGCAGCCCGTGGAAGTTCAACAGTGGAGCAGATACCCACGTGTAGACCATGGAGGACTCCACACTGGAGCAGAAAAGCTGAGCCTGAGGGCAAGTGCGACTGTATTGAGTCCCCAGAGATGCTCAACACCAGAGCGGGGGTGGGGCCCCAG